AGCTGAGGATAGTTGCAAGCAGGAATTTCAACATCACTTTCATCTGGGGTTAGTATCGTCACCCCACCTCTTCCTGATGCTGAGGGGAAATGGGTAAGGTTTTGGACTTTGGCTCATGCAGCTGCAATTGCTGCATTGAGTACGCAGTCCAGACCTTCACAGAGACTGGCTGAAGAAGTTTTGACTGGTTGAGAGACGACAGGCTCACTCTTATCGTCTATAACATCCGCAGCCTTTGCTCGCAGCCTTCACTCGGAGGTTTCAGACAGCCGTGTGGCGCTGCAAGTATGAGTGGTGGGCACGGGATGCTGAGGAGATGGAATCTGCCTCAGTAGCCCGCAATCACAAATCACTCTTTAAATTTATCGAAAAGGTAACATGCAGCCCCTCACCTATCAACATCTTTCGGGGAAAAAACGGTGTTCCGATCTCCGAACCCAGGGAACTGGTCTGCAGGCTTGCAGAGCATTTCCAAGAGGTCTTTTGGGAGGGGAATTCCCTCAGCCCAGACAACGTCATGGGGCAAGATGGGGACGACCCTGCTGCGAAATATTTCATGCCAATGTGGGCTCAGACCAGAGAGGTCCTACACCCATGCCATATTTTCTGTCCATTTTCTAGAGCAGAGGTGTAGGGAATCTTACAAGACCATATCTGCTGTATTGACCTGGTTAAAGCCTATGATACCATCAACAGGCCAGGACTATGGGCTGTTCTTCCTGCTTTCAGAGTCCCTGACTTTCTGGTCACAATCAGTAAGGGCCATCATGATGGTGGGCAGGCCTGGGTAAAGCTACATGGCTGGAAGTCAGAGCCATTCCTGCTCACCTTGGAGTAAAACATGGATGTCCTCTGACTCCCACATTATTTAACACAATCTTTGACCACGTAGTTCGAGAAGCTTCCCATAGCTGTACTGGAGGGATTTCCATTTGGTACAGATACAATGGGAGGCTGATAGATGCCCGAGTGCAGTCGAGGGATGCCTCCCTATTGATGATCTCATGATCTGGTGATTGCTGCTCACGCAACCCATGGCACCTGGGTCTGACCCGTTACCGCCTGTCACTTCACATGGCATCAACGTGCACCTGGCCTGGCACAGGCGCTGGGGTGACGTCACCGCCACTTTGTGGCGATTGGCGGGTGTTGTTATTGTTGATGGTCTTGATGGAGATAATTGAAGTGATGGCGGTGGAGATGGCGGTGATGGTGGAGGCGGTGGTGGTGGTGATAGAGGTAGTGATGATGGTGATGGAGGTGTTGATGCTGGTGATGGCGGTAATGGAGGTGATGATCGTGATTATTGAGGTGATGATGGAGGTGATGTTTGGTGGTTATGGTGTTGATTGTGGAGGTGACAGCGGTGGTCGTGATAGAGGTGGTGATGTTCGTCCGACGTGGTAATTCCGTTCCTAGCTCGACAGCGCCACCTGGCGCTGCTACTCAGGCAGCTGCACCCCAATGCTCCTGAGACAGCAGGCTCAGTCTACCTGGTTTGCCAGGTGAGCGATAAGGGGTGCGCGCTGAGGGGTGTGGGCAGGGGGGTGCAGGCGGGGGTGGACCTCAGTGGTATTTGTAATGAATATCTGCATGATGATAATTAAGATGGTGTTGGTGGTGGTTCTGCAAGTGGGGGTGATGATGATCACCGTGGTGGTAGAGGTGGTGATTAATGGTTGTGGTGATGAATGTTTATTAACGCGGTGCTCGTGGCAATTGTGGTGGTGATTAAGGTGGTCATGGTTGTGGTATCTAATTATGAGAGTGATGATGATCATTATTAAAGTGCTGTTGATTATGAGCATGCCAGTGATAGTGTTGATGATTACACTGCTGCTACTGCCGATACTCCCACCCCGTGCCCGCCCACCCCACCCCACCCCGTGCCCCCCAATCCCACCCGTGCACCCACCGTGCCAGGCTGGGAGCGGGCCGTTCAACCACGCCAAGTTGAGGTGATAATGGGTCCACTCCACATCCCTATCGTCCTACTGACACTGCTACTGATGATGCTGCCCTTGCTACCCACCCCTTGCAGCCCACTTGCCAACCTCACCGTGCGCCGTATCGTGCTCCCACCATACCCCACACCGTGCTCAAACCGTGGCCACCTCCCAGGCTGGTAGCGGGACGTTCAATCACCCAAGCTGATAAACGTGGGTTACGTAGAGGCGCTCCGGGAGGCGCCCTTCAACTGCTTCGTCTTCTCCAACGTTGACGTCCTCCACCTGGACAACGGCAACCTCGACCGCTGCGGGCAGCAGAACCCACTCCACCTTTCGGTGGCCGTGGACAAGTTCGACTGCAGGTGCTGGGTGGCTGTGTGGGTGGCTGGGCGGGTAGGGTGGGTGTGTGACCGAATGAAAAAGTGTGGGTGATTGAGTGACCGAGTAGGTGGGGGGAATTTACATCTGGTACAGATATAATGGAAGGCTGATCGACGCCCGGGTGCGATCAAGAGATGGCTCCCTATTGGTCAACCACGTTATGTATGCCGATTATTTGGTAATAGCTGCTCATTCAGAAGAGGAGTTGGAGACGCTGCTGCTGAGACTGGAGCGTGCCACTAAGAGGTGGGGCCTTACCATCAGCTCCACCAAAACTAAGCACCTGCCTGGGTATTTTGTACCATCGGACACTCCACCCCCACAACTCCCAATCGGCGATGGGGCTGTAGTGGAGAGAGTGGAGAGTTTCCCATACTTGGGCAGTGTGCTTATGACCGGCTCCAGTTTAACAGCAGAGGTCTCACTCCGAATCACTCGAGCGGCAATATCTTTTCATCGGTTGTGTAACGCTGTGTGGAAGCTACCTGGTCTGTCGCTCCGCACGAAGCTTCAGGTCTTCTCGGCCACAGTCATTCCCTCCCTTCTCTACGCTTGCGAAACGTGGACCCCCCTAATGGAGCATCTTCGCCGGTTGGAAACATTTCGGCTGGCCTGCCTACGATCCATCCTGGGTTTAACCAGGCTGGATTGTGTGAGGAGCTCACAAAACCTTGAAAGATCTGGGCAAAGTCCCATCGGTGAGCTCCTCCGGCAGGCAAGGCTGCGTTGGCTGGGTCATGTAGCCCGCATGCCCAGCCACCGCATGCCTAAACAGCTTTTGTTCGGCCGGATCGAGGGGGCTAAACGGGCGCGGCACGGGCTAGAGAAGAGGTGGTACAGGAGGACGTGGAGCTGAGTGGACTTGCCGATGACTGGTACCAGCGGTGTCAAGATCGGCCTCTGTGGAGGAGGCTCGTGAAGGACGCTACTGGGCAGTTGGAGGCAGTCGCCCTCCAACAACGGAGGGCGGAGGAGCGACGCTCACAACAACGAGCGGAGCGCCGGGTGGCTAAAGCACAGCAAGTTGGCACAGTAGGGGGCACAGGTGGTGCATCAGCCAGTCATCTCGGTCATCTCGGTCAGTCGACTCGTGGCACCTGGGTCTGCCCCGTGACCTCCTGCCAGCGGGCGTTCGACACTTCACGTGGCCTCAAGGTGCACATGGCCTGGCACAAGCGTCGTGGTGACGTCACCGCCACTTAGTGGCGAATGACGGTTGTTGTTGTTGTTGAGTAGATTGGTAAGCGCTAGTGTAATGGTTAGGACACTGCACTATGAACCCGGCGACACGGTTTCGATACCTACTCAATGCCAATACCAATGATGATTATATGAACCGGAACTGGCCCTCCCCTGGGTCGACTTAGCCTCAAATTAGTACCTGGTGCGGTGTTTAAACATCGCCTCTAGAGAGACAAAGGCGGCCATACGTAGTGCCACCCACCCAACAGTGCGCCGCCATGTAGGCCTTCATAGGTGTCCCGACATTCTGTTAAGGCTATAGGAGGGATCTTTGTCTCTGGTTTTGTTCACTCATGGGAGCCTGGATTAGTGCTCTGGTCTCTGAGCTACCCGATGATATCTTGGAATTCAATGCTAATTTATAACTTGAACATTCAATAAGTTATTGCGTAAACCTCTGTGTATACAATTATAACGTGAGGCAAATGTTCATTCACGTCCATCAGGCTTTGCAAAACATCTTACACAACGTGCTCCTTGTACCTGCCAACTTCAATCATCGATTCCTCCACCATACTGATTATCGTCTCATCCACACTGCGGGTCACAACAAGACACTCGCTCACCCATCCACTCACCCATCCACTCACTCACCCACTCACACACCTGCTCGCCCACCCGTTCGGCCACCCACTCACCCATCCGCTCACTCACCCACCCACTCACCCATCCGCTCACTCACCCATCCGCTCACTCACCCACCCACCCACTCATCCACCCACTCAATCACTCATCCGCTCACCCACGCACTCACTAAATAATCTAAGTGCGTGTTGATTTTAAACGTGGAGGGGAGCAAAGCCGGAGGAATCTGGAGAACGATCCACGTGACCCCTCGTGGAGTCCCATGATGTCCTCCTGCGTAGCAGGCAAGGAGGGAGATACAACATCTCCCCCGCCACCACTTGAGGGTCGCTAATTGTGTAGCGCAGTGTGTGAACTTTCCTCGGACACACGGACCCGGACATTGAATATGAACCCGCAAATTGAACATGGACACATCTGCACATATGTACAGAAAGATAGAGAGATAGACGCCTACAAAGCCTATATTGAAATCAACAAATTCGCCCGAAATTGCCTGAAATCGCCAAAATTGCACAATCACCCAAAAACACCAGAAAAGGGCGAAGTCGCCAGAAATCGTCAACATGTGCCTAAAACCTCCAGAAATGTGCATAAAATGCGCCAGATCTCCACAGACGGAAGCTAAGCAAGGCAGAGCCCGGATCGTGCTTGGATGGGCGACCACCACGCACGGAACAAAATTATGGCGCAGCACCAGCACTTCATTGTTGCATCGTACTCCTATGCTCCCTCCGCCTTCACAACTCCACACTTACCAGGACTTTATGTGAAGGAATGACACAAAAGCAACGTTTGTGGGGAATAATAGATAATTGCCATTTTCTGTACTTTTGAGGCATAAGCAATAAGATAACAACACTACCCAGGAACACATTTTTTTTGTTACACAGTGAATTGTTAAATACGAGGATAATCAGATACTCGTGTTTTGTTCTTAATTACGTAGAACTGCTAATAAACAATGATTGCAATGATGTCATTGTTCATACGATACGATATGTTAATACATGTCACTGTGTGGCAATTAACGCGATATCAGTTTTCCATTAACTATGTGATTAAAATGAAGGAAACTATTTTTTATTTCACCAGGTAAAGCCCACTGAGTTATAGCACTCCTATTCAGAAGCGACATGACCACAAATGATAGCTCAACGATATAGCAGGCAACTACTCTAAACACATGTTTCTAAATGTGGAGAAAAATGCACGCGACCACCACGGGGAGAGAGAGACACACACAGCCTCCAAATATACAATAGGCATCGTCAGGGTTAGGATCGAACCCACGACCTTCTGCACATCAGGCGAGGGATTTAACATCTCCAAGCCATTGTGGCACCCCTTGCGTTTGTCAAGTCTTCTTCATTGTGTCTTCCGTCCAACCTATGTTGTTTTTCCCCAATGTTCTGCACAGGCCACCACTTCTGGTGTGGCATTGACAAATCTTCAGGAGTACATTGGGCTGTTGCAGAACATCGCAGGAGATGATCTGTGGTTTGTTTCTTGTGACAAGCAAATTGGTCAGTTGTGCAGAATACCCCGCCATGATTTCATGAGAGAGTTGCATCTGTCAAAAACCACTCTCAGTCTGTTTAGGCTCCGCCATGTGAGCCATTTGGAATTGGAGACAGATGCGAGCTCCTCACTGGGAATAATACCTCATCAGCACCATTCAGCAGCTTTGACGCGTGATTTTTTTTATATCAGAGGAGTTCGGCAAGTTATCGTATTGTTGCTGAGATTGTCCGTGCTTCCGGTATGAATAAAGATCGCTTAGAGTCTAAACCTTAGACCGTATATTTCTCGACATTTTTGCCAGCCATGATTCTCCCTCACCGTAACTTGTTCAAGATCCGCACCGCTACTCACAGACCTCGCACACGGTCAAACGATGGCGTCATAATTGCCACCACTGGCCCTCAGAAGAAACATGACGTTTTACCAAAAGCCCTAATTTAAGGTGTATAAAAATCTAACAAGTAGGCTTTCGTGACAAATATTATTCACGATAAAGTGTTTTTGTCGTGGGTTAGATCACGTAAATATGTTGCAAAGCTACCTCCACTCGACACAGCCAATCAGTAAAGTTTGTCACGTGAACAGAACGTTCCTGGTATGTTACAACTTCAGAAAACAATAATGGATTTGTTAGAGAGCAAAACCACAATTTAAAATTGTTAAACATGGTCATAGTCTGTTGACGTGTGACAGACCTTACTAACTGGCTGTGTCGGGTGGAGGTGGATTTACAACACATTTACGTGATCTAACCCAACAAAGAAAACTGTATCGAGAATATTTTTTACGACCAACTTTAATTATAATTAACGCGCACAAGAAACACTCATCAACAACACTGCCGTAAAATAAAAATCAATAGAATGGGACACGTTTCGAACAATGGTGCTTTCTCATAATAGCACACCATTGTTGTTTTGTTCATTGTGCCTGTGCATGACTGCATTGAAGTATGACCAACAAAAGTTATTAATTATATAATTTTGATGCCAGCAAAAAGGGCCCCGTAGATTTAACTGCTCAACCAGAGCTATTAATGCTTTGATATTTACATTGCCTTTGTGCTGTTCACCTTTTGGCGTTCTCGAGTCTAATACTGGTCAGACAAAGCTGTGAAGGTGGCTGTCTCTGGAGCAGGCCAATCAGTTTCAACGACAATGCATTAATTATTATTAAAGCATGTTTTTTGCATGTGTTATCGCAAGTATGTGTGGTTAATGCAGACTTGATGCCTTGCAATATGTATCTCTTTGGTGTTTAAACATCTTACCACCTCCTGTATTCTTGCCAGAAACAGAAAAGCCCATTTACTTTTTAAGCATGTTTAATTATAAATGTGACGCGTTAATCATTGTTATTTCAGAAATGTAATGTTAGGAAGTAAAATGTCATCTTATTTACGAATTAAATTTGCAACAATTATCGCTATACGACGATCTTGCGCAAAGCTGATGGTACGACCGTTATCGACCGTCTTACATCGCACGCTGTACCACAGTCGTATCGCCATATCGTGCCTCACGTGTCAAATCCATTGTTGTTGTTGTTCCTTCACCCAGCAGTAGATAGAGAATGGACAATGCAGGAGCACACTGATGCCTGCATTGTCACCGCATGGAACATCTTTAGTTTTCGTAAAGAAATTCTTCAGGAACGTCCTAGAACGCAAGAGTTAAGTTTACAGGGACACGGGTTATGCAGTGTAACACTCCTCCATAGCGGTCCCCTCATCATGTCCATTCCCTACATACTGACATCACCAGTTGATAGAAGTAACCTGAGGTGTGATGATGTGACTGGTGGCGGGAGATGAGGAGACACTGTCCGAGATGTGACCATCTGTGCTTGGTGGTGGGAGATGAGGAGAGTCCAAGATGTGATTATATGATTGGTAGCTGGGAATGAGGTGACAGGGATGAGGGGATGGGCAGGAAATATGAGAGGAGACCGTGGGGATGAGAGGGGATGTCAGAGAAGGGATGAGATGGGGAGAGAGCTATAGATGAAGGAAAGAGCTGTGGATGAAGGAGGGAGCTATGGATGAAGGAGGGAGATGTGTGTTATGGATGTGGAATAAACGGACTGGAACCCTGACCTGTCTCTGTGTGTTTGTGGAGAGGAGAGTGTCCTCTACGCATGTAACAGGGAACTTGCTCACAAGGCTCTCAGAGCAACTCCCAGCGCCCTAATCTCATCTCTGCTATGCCATCGTCCTGATGTCATCTTGCCAAGGGAATTAGGGAGCGTCCCAGTGGCAGCTCTACGTGTGTGGTATTAAGTGTACGCAGCTTCAGCTTGAAAATGCAGTCTTTCAGTTATGGGGAATACTGGTGATAGGTTTATCTTGTTACATAACTCAGACCTGCTATATTTAGCATAATTATATATTCTATATGATAACGTACACTTTATTGGTAGAGATTTTTATTACAATAACTACGGACGGAATTAGGAATTAGCGAAGGCGTATTTTATTATTTGGCACGGAAGTTGTGGAAGAGCATAGCCAAAAATATGCTTAATGCACCCCATCTATGCATTAATTTAGAACTAAACTATGTTTAGATCGCATAAAGAAGACTCAAATAAAATGGACAAACATGGGGGTAGTGTTAAGCCTATTTGTATTTTTTACATTTATTATTCCTGTTTGTTTTGTATATTTGTCCATAATGTACTGCGTTTAACATTTGTATGTTTTCTGTACCAACTTGCTTCCTGAGCAATGATCTCTAACATCCCTTTGTTCTGTCGCCCAGTCTTCCTGCATGAGAGGCGTGGTATTAATCAGAAGTGATGGTGATGATGAAGACATTTTAGAATGCCAATATAATCATTTGCATTGTTTTTGAAAGGTAATTTTCCATTCATTAAGTTGTGCACACCAGCCTGCTAATTTTCTGATTCAGTTAATGAATCCATCAGTGTCTTCGAGAAGGAATATCAAAGCCAGGCGGTGCAATATTTGGGTATATAATTAGGTGTTTATTCTGGTGGCTGCTTTGTTCCACACTGCTCACCAGCATTCTCCATTTAGCACGGTTAGCTACGTACGATGCGAAATAATTCAACATACATACAATATTCTGCATCTGGGTGAGATTCTAGGAAGGTGACAGTGATCCCAGAAGGGTGATCAGGGCTTTATTTGGCCTGATACCAAAGTGCAGTGATTTTAAATCAACGACATTCAACATTAAGATAACTAAGCAAATAGCCTCCTTCACACGGCCTTCTGTAAGTGCATGAGTGTCAAAGCCGGTCCAGAGGTTGCTTGTCTTGAACCAAGGATGCTGAAATAATGTACTCTCAAAAGGCTCTATGGCCGATGGGTTGTAAGAGAAATTATTTTATTTGGACCTGTGGAGAGACGGGTATGTGAACGAGATCCAAAGATCTTAGGGACATTGTTCGAGTATTAAAATGGATCCGTTCCTGTATACATCGCGGGGCAAAACCATCGAGTGCCTGGTAGGTTAGCATCAAGATATAGTACATGAGGTGTGTGGTATGTACTATAAACTATGATGATGATCATCATCATGCTTAAATAACCCATGGCTTTGGCAGTCGCAGCATCATCAACATAACCGTTGCTTACCTTGATGTTAATGTAGGACATTGATTCCTGCAGCTCACTGTTGGGAAAAAACAGGGAATGTCAGACCACCTGAACACAAGAACATTGAGACTAATGACTAATGGATATCCAACGTTTGGCCAGGACACTTGCCATTTTAGATAGTGTCCCAGTGTCCTGAAACATTTGCAAAAATACATAGATTTTTGCCAAAGTAAAAAATAACCTTTCCTCCTACCCAGCAAGCATAATTATACTGGTAGGAACCTACTGGTTCCACCAGCCCACAGGGGATTATTGTGTCCGTCTGTCGTGCAGGGATGGGCTGGGTGGGGAGGGAGGGGTTGGGTGGGGAGGGGCTGGGTGGGGAGGGGCTGGGTGGGGAGGGTGGGGCTGGGTGGGGAGGGGCTGGGTGGGGAGGGGCTGGGTGGGGAGGGTGGGGCTGGGTGGGGGGTGGGGCTGGGTGGGGAGTGGGGCTGGGTGGGGAGGGGCTGTTCACCCCGTGGTGCCCTTATAAAACTCAACGTTTAACCTACTCACGCCGGTTTGTGCCCGCCCTCACAGTCGGGCATATTTGCGGAATACACCACGCCGCTGTTGACCCTGGCCATTGACCGAGCAACCCAACGTTCCTACCAGCTCCCTCCGCAGGAATGTGTTAATGGAGGGAAGGCCTTCCTGATTAGTGGGCGTGGAAGGCAGTGGAGTGGGCAGGCCCTATGACCAGTGGGCGGGGCCAATGACAGCAACAGAGCCACTCATTTTGTGGGAGGGGATGGCTGTTGCGTGAGCGTGGTAATGTGAATGCGAGCGTCCCAGAAATGTGGTCGCCAAAATTGATTGTGTTTGGAACATTTGTATGTATGTTGAACTTGTTTAGCACCGGACGTAGCCATAGTGCTTAACGAAGACAACAAAATCAACACAAAAAGCAGTTCTAAAGAAATTAGTTTTAAATCTTGATTTAAAAGTGCATAGCTCAAGTAGCTTCTTAAAATCTGAAAGTGCGCAATGAGGTGACCGACTTTGTTCGATGGCTAGCCAAACGCCGCTGCTGGGAATATGACCGAAACAGTCCATTGATCAATTGAAGAATCAAAAGTGCATTTGCCCAGTTAAGCTAAGAAGCTCTATTTAAAAGGGTGACTAGGCCACCAGACAACATTAAAGCAATCCTCAATTACTAAATTATTTAAAAATGATGTTGTAAAATTACATTTACACTTGAACTTTAGTGATTTTAATAATAGAGTAAGTATAAATGAGGACAAAGATGGCAGAATTGAGATGCCAAGAGACGAAACTAGGTGGTTCCAAATACTTTGGCCAGCTTTATTAACTACTTTTGATCCAAATTGCGCGAATTCTAGGAATTTCTCATTGTATCTGTGTGAGGATGGCATTGACATCGGAACTACATTGTCAAAAGTATGTTAATCAAGTGCTGGGGCCAGAGGAAATACTTGCCAACAAATGTGACTGGTAGGAATAACAACACGTAATGGTGTTCGCGTCATGCCTTGCGTGCACGTCGTGTGACCTCGACATTGCATGCAGACTGATCTCAGCCTTGCCTAGACCATCAACTCTTAAAGCGGTGATGGCAATAGTCTAGCCAGGCAGCCAGCTAAAAAAACCTTATTCTTGGTTCTTTCGGCAAAGTCCCGTAGAAGGGAAATAATAAAAGAATCAAAATAAAGCATAATAAAATAATTATATTATATTATTTAATATTCGTTTATTTTATTATATTTTATTATTATATTTTATTATTTTATTATGTTTTATTTCCCTTCTACGTGACTTTACCGAAAGAACCAAGAAGATGAATCCCTGCAGTCACGAAAGCTTTAAATCGAAATAAAAAAAAACCTTGTTTCTCGTCGTATTATACAAATATAATATGTAGTGGGATAGGTATCATAGGATCACCAGCTCGCGAGGAAGCTAGTGGTTCTGCAGAGCTAGTCACGGTGATGACGAGCCCACCTCGTCCTCCTGTTGTTGTAGCGCTCGATGATCCGCTGCTGATTCCTGCGGTAGGTCCACACGGCGAGGAGTGCAATGATGATGACGAGGACTACGAAGCCCACGGCCGCTATCACCATCCACACCCAATCTTCCATGTAGACTTTGCCACCTCCGATCGACACACGGGGAGATGAAGTGCCACCCACGTCTATATAAAACAAAAAATTACAGGTAAAACTGTGTAATGTAGCTCTTTTTCAGAAGCAACCTGGCTATATATGATAGCTTAACGAAGTTGCTTATCGTGTGGAACAATATTGCAGCAACCGCGTACTCTAAACGTGCGGTTTTGACAGTCATAGAGACCCATAAACCCACATACACCCATAGAGACCCATAATCAAAGACCCATATAGAACCACAGAGATCCAGAGACTCATATAGACCCACATAAACTCACAGAAACCCATACTCTTCGAGACCCAGACTAAAACTAAACTTTTAGTTTATCAGGTAACGCCCACTGGACAAGCATCTATTTTTCAAAAATGACATGGTCACAAATGGTAGCTCAGCAAAGTAGCCTATCACGTGGAAATGTCATAGCAGCAGCCAAATTATCTAAACGTGTAATGTTGATTCTAAATGTGGAGGGAAAAACCGGAGGACCCGAAGATAAATACAAGCGACCTCGGAGAGATATAGAGAGAACACGGGGACTCCAAATATACAACAGGCATAGTCAGGGTCGGGATTGAACTCACAACTTCCTGCATACTAGGCGAGGGAGATAACAGCATCACCACTGCTTGAGTTTACCATTTTGTTTTGATGGGTTGGCAGTAAGAGCAGTTGTAGGATGACGTGTCCCCCCTGAGCCACTTATTAAACAAAAGGCGTTGTCGATACGTAGCTCTCTCCACGTGATCAGCTTACAGGAGAATGATCTGAATTTAACGGCGTAAACATATTCGATAGCCAGAGAGGCGTCTCCACTCTGTATGTTCCCAAAGAACGTATATCCTTCAGATGCTTCCAGTTGATGATTGATCGTGTTGCTATAGTAAAATATCTAAAGGGGAAGGTAAAACACACAGGCGCAAAACCATATTACGGAATAATATGGAACAATTTGTAAAGTGGTGCATTTCAGAATCAGAATCATTAATTATCCTGAAGAAATTCGATTAGCAATGTAGCTCTTTTTCATAGATGCCCAGTAGTACATCCCACCAATGCGGCCCGTGTATGGAAATCAGGGAATACGCAGAACTGGAAAGTTGTACGGACAGACCATGGCGGGGAGTAAAGACAAATTTACCCACTCACTCACACACTCACTCAGTCACCTTCTCACCTACTCATTCAAAGACTCACCCACTCATTCAGCCACTGACAAGAGAGCGGATGTGTGATGGTAACGATGGTGATGACGTGCTCGCAAAACTGAGGGGTGTAAGGACTCTAGCAGCTGTATTCTAAACGAGCTGGAGTCTAACCCAATACCTGGTGTATTTTTTTAATTAATAAATTAAATTCATTTATGTAAAGTAATGTTTTGTCTCTTCCAGCCACAGTTTTATTGCGATTGTCCCATTCCGGTGGTCATTCCAAGAGACAAATAATCCATTGGGAACTCTCGCACATAGAGTAGTGCAACCCTCCACGTTAGAGAGCGGCCGACAGATCAGGCTACCAAAGAACTACATATAAAATCCCGTCGGTTGAACTTCTGGTCCATAAAGGAGTGGGCAGCGATTCATCACTCGCTCTGGCATTGAAGGTAACATTCGTCGCACGAGAGTCAAACCGATATTTGTATTCATTCTCACAGATGAATTCTGCCAAATTGAGTGAACCCAAGTTAATGTAATGTTGGGTTTTGTTCTTCCGTTAAAATTGGTAGCGATGGTGAAACCATACAATTGGTTTACTTGAGGACCAGGATTAATCAAAGGCGTCTCCCTCGATCCCTGATTAAGGCCAGGACATTTTTTAAGTCCTGTACTATATTTCTTTTACATGAACAAACATACACGTAGGCTTTCGCGACCAATATTATTCATAATCAACGTTTTGGGTTTAGATCGCGTCATTTATAAATGTGTCGTAACCCTCCACCACCCGACACGGCCAATCAGTAAAAAAGTGTCACGTTGACAAAAGACAAATAGTTCACTGCTTTTGCCCACCGGTGTGTTGAAGCGTGAAACCACAACATTTACAATTTGAGTACGACGTTTCGCTGGTAATTGCGATTTAAAGGTTTTTATTAACTTCTCAACGGGTACAAGGAAAACCAAAGAGAGTACTGAAAACCACTCCTTCCCGGGCGCCCCGGTTGGCCCCTTCGAGTCTCCGTCACATCCGCGGGCTCCACCCACATACAATGCAACAAAACAAAGCTCGCCGCCATAACGCACACCGCCCCGTTCCCCTTATTCACATTCATCACCACCATTCACCCATGCGCTTGCTCCATCACATCGCCTTCCCCCGATCGAACACGTACATTCCTCGCCCACATGATTTAGCAGGCCGGCTAAAATGTGCGTGGCCATCCTTCACTATCCCTTCCCTATACCCGCCGGTCCCCTCGCTACCCCACCCCGGGTAGGGGCCACTTCCACTTCACACCTGCGGCCTTGTATCCCAGCCTAACCCGGTCTACTTCCATCACCCTTTCTAGCAACCTCCTCGCCCAGTAGCACACCTCCAACGGTGATATAGGGGACCCATCCAACTCTTTTCTGCGAGCTCCCCACAAGGCCTCCTTTGTCGTGCCTATTATAGCCCACGTTCGATCTCTGTCATCTCCCCGCACCTCCCTTAAGACTCCCCACATAATGTCCCGACTTATCACCTGCGACGGGTAAAACCAGGACAACAGCGGACTGCTCAGTCTCCACACCTCCTGTGCGAAGGGACACCTCACCATGACGTGCACCGCGTCCTCATCTGTGTTGCAGCCCCTCGGGCATTTGGGCGAACGTGCCATTCGGCGAGAAAACATGAAGCCCCTCGTCTCCAATCTATCCCACACCGCCAACCAGGACAGATCTCTCTGTTCTTTTGTGAGCGCCGTTGATGAAGTGTTCCTCCACACTTGACGGTACATAGTCCTCTTCGCGCCCATCACCCCCTCGCAGGCCTCCCCTTCGTTTACTTTGGCCAATACCTCCTTGGAGTTCCACGATCCCCCTCTCTGACTCAAATTGTACTCTTTTATGTAGTCACCCACCGCCGCATTCAGCCATCCTTGTGGCCAGGCCAAGGGCGTGCCCGCCGGTAATTGGGTCATCCCAAGCCCCCTCAGGAGCCACATCAGGCGATACCTTAAATAACACGCGGCCTTCCCCCGGGGCTCTTCGGAAAAGAATAACCTCAAAGTGTTGCACACAAAAATTGAGGACAGCACACGTGCAATATTTGGGGCACCTTTCCCCCCGTTCTCGACGCGTTTACACATCACCACTCTCTTCACTCTATCCATCCCGCCTCCCCAAATGAATTTAAACAACATCGATTCCAGGATTCTTGCCTCCCTCCTACCTGGCGGGTACACATATGCGAGGTAGTTGAGTGTTGGTAAAACCACCACCCTCACTACCAGAATCCTCCCTTCCATCGTGAGCCGTCTCCCGGCCCACTTGCCTAACTGTCCCTTTACCTGCTTTATCCTCCCGTCCCAGTTTCGTTCCGCCGACCTTTCTCGGCAAAAGGACACTCCCAAGACCTTGACTTCCTCCGTCTTTATCCCCAACTCAGGCGGCCGACCCTCAAATAGTCTCGGGTCCCCGAAGGCCATCAATTCGCTCTTCCTCGCATTCACCTTCAAGCCGGAGGCCAGGCCGAAGCGGTTTGTCTCCTTCATGGCCCCCCACACTGATGCCACGTCCCTACAGAGCACGACTACGTCATCCATATATAGCGCCACCTTCCCCTGTTCCTTATTCCCGGGGATGGTCACTCCCTTAATCTCCTCATTGTTTCTTATTGCCTGTGCAAGGGGTTCCATACACATTACAAATAGAACCGCGGACATCGGGCACCCCTGTCTCACCCCTGACTCTACTGGAATTGTCCCCGAGAGCTCCCCATTTATCAGTAGTCTGGTCTTGAGCCCTTGGTAAAGACGCCTCACCCAATCGACCAAGGGTCCCCTCACTCCTATTTTTTCCAACACTGCGAACATATACTCGTGCGAGAGGCGGTCGAAAGCCTTCTCAAGATCCAGGCTAAGAAGCCCTAGGGGGCATCCCCTCTCTCCTTCTACCTCTATTGCCTCCCTTAATAAAATCAGGGAGTCCGAAATCCTTCTTCCTGGCACCGCACACGTCTGGTCGGGTTCGATTACTCCCTCCACCACCTTCCCCAGTCGCGTCGCAGCTATTTTTGCCATAATCTTGTAGTCCGAGTTCAGGAGCGTAACTGGACGCCAGTTTCCCAACTCTCTCCGGTCCCCCTTCTTATACATCAGTATGATGAGCCCCTCACACATTTCTTCTGGCACCAGTCCACCCTCCAGCATTTCCCTATACATCTGCAGCATGTCCCCTTTCATTAAATCCCAGAATGTAATATAGAATTCTGCTGGAATTCCATCCAGTCCTGGCGTCCTATTCTTATTCTGCCTCCTCACTGCCTCCTCCACTTCCTCCATCTGGATCCTCCCTCCCAGTACCTCTGGGTTCTTAACCTCATGTCTTAGCTCCCCTAGTAGTGCCTCCCTTATTCCCTTATCCGTTCCCTTCCTCCCATACAACTCCCCATAGTACTCCTCCGCTATCTCTATCATACCCTCTGTCGTTGCCTGCCTGCCTCTGACCGGACTCACCAATTCCCCAAGTGTGTTGTCTCCTGCCTTGCATTTCTTAAAGAAGAAACTCGTACATTTCTCTCCCTGTTCCGTTTCCCTGACCCTTGCCCTGTATGCCATTTGTTTGACTCTTTTCTCCAATACCGAGGATAACCTTCCCTTCAATCTCCGTATATCCTCACCCACCGGGAATCCCAGCTCAAGTAACCTGTGCTTCTTCTCGATTCTAGCGTTCCACAGCTGCAGTTCCCTGTTTACACTCCTCCTTCTACTATGTGTCTGGAAGAGGGCCTTTATCCGTCCCTTCACCATGCTCCACTCCACCCTCGTGGCAAAGCATTCCTGCAGGGTCGTCCAGTCTTCGTACTTCCTTACAAAGTCTTCCACAACCCTTCTGTCTTCCAACAGGCTCACATTCATTTTCCAGGTTCCCTTCCCCATCTTCAGGCCACCTGGAATACCGAGCTTTGCCTTCACCAAATTGTGATCTGACAAGGGGAAGGGTTCCAGGTCTGCTCCATCCACCTTCACATTGGCAGACACAAAGATGAAATCTATTCGTGATTGCCTTCTACCACCCTTATCCGACCACGTGTATCCCGGTCTCACCGGGTGTACCTTTCTGAAGGCGTCAGTCATTTTAAAATCCTCTATCAGCTCCTTCAACTTCCTAGAGGAAGGATCGAGCCTCCTCCTCCCAGCCACCGATAATAGGTCTGCCAGGCACAACGGGCAGTTAAAATCACCCCCCATTATGACTTGCCGTCTCGTCACGAGTAGGGTCGCTACATTATTCCATAGGTCCACTCTTTCTGTGCACGTCGTGGGGGCGTACACATTTATTAGTCTCAGGTCTGCCTCTCCATAAGACACGTCCACATAATGGAGGCGGCCCGGGATCACCTCTTGGGACCCGACTATCTGTATACCCCTCCTGCCTAGGAGGGTAACCACCCCCGTGCATCGATTTTCATTACTCCCGGACCAAAAGTAGTAGCCATCCCAGCTCTCCAACAGCTCCTCCCGGCCCAGGGTGTATGGTAGGTGGCATTCCTGGAGGAAGACCACCTCCCACTTGGTAGCCTGTAGCAGTTGTATTATTGCTCCTCTCCTCGCCTTTCCCTTCAAGCTCCTCACATTTACGGACGCCACGGAAAGTTCCATGTTGTCCGAAGTGGCCTTCTCCGCTCGCCCTCCGTAACCGTCTTCATTCGCCAGTTCCCGCAATTTTATTTTGCCCCTTGTTCTCAAGG